AACCAGTGCCATCATCTTTTCCTCACCTCAGAATTATTTAGGAAAAAGATTACATACAAATTACTGTCTTGAATGGAATTCAAACACAAGACCAATATTCTGTCAGGCAAGCCACTTTACAAACATTCTAGCAGTTCACCAGATGATTCATTAACCATGTTTGTGACGCGCTTGTATATGTGCGTATGTGCTCGCAAGCGTGCATGCATATGAGAGAGAGAGAGAGTTCTTTTAGTTTTTGTGTTGTATCATTATTTCCGCAGAGAAATTGCAAACTTTTTTTTTTTTTTTAATCCAGGAGTGTAGAGGCACTTGAAAGACCTTTTTCATCATCTTTTTTTCCCCAGGTAGCTGGCTGATTCACCTAGGCAGGAGTGCCTCACAACAATCATTAGTCTTTAGTTCCATTTATATAGACATGTACACATGAATGGAAGGTGTCAGTTTATGTGCAGGTGTATTAGGGTTGTAAATTTATATAATCAAGTATGGAAAGTATAAATCTGTGTACAGATGTTTGTGTGTGAGGTACACATTTGTGTACTGACATATAGAAAATATAAGTTTATGTGCAGAAGTATAAAAGATATAAATTTATGGACAATAAGAAAGAGACAAACACTGTTCTTTCACTACATAATGAGAAAAGAGACATTGGAGAACATCGTGACAACTGGAAAGATCAGTGGAAAAGGGGGTAGAGGCAGACCAAGAGAGATGATGCTGGATGGGCTGAAACAATGGCATGGAGGGATATCATCAAGAGAGATGTTCCAGGCAACCAGGGATAGTGGTCTGTGGAGACGCATGAGCACCTACGCCAGATGGCAGGGCACATGATGATCAGAATTGTGTGTACTGACATGTGGATGGTATACATTTACATACTGATGTATCGAACCTTTTTGTAAAATAATGTAGATAAAGATATGGCAACTGTTAAAAATTTAATTTTGAAAAAATATGAATACAAAAAGCAAGACAAGCTTAAATAGCATTTGGAAACGTGAAAATTGAAGGAAATCAAAACTACTACCAAACTTCAAATATATAGCTCTAATGTCAGTACTGCGGCATCTGTGGCTTAGGCATTGCGAGTCTGACTCATAATTCCAGCGTACCGCGATCAAAACCCACTGCTGGCTGCATAGATTTTTATCATGGTATGGGGCGTCACAGGTCAACCCAGCCTAAAATGGGTACCAGCATGGCTGTCCTGGAGAAGTAAAGACAGCCCGAATAATGCTGACCACATTACCCACATAGTGCGGATGGTCTGTAAAGATATGGGCTCTCTTCCCATATACCCGATAAGCCTAAAGGCGTGAAAAGGGATCTTTACTTTAATGTCAGTACTATTGTGTGAAGCTGAAATGTGGAGGGCAGATAAGAAGACTGAGAAGTGGAAAGAAGTTGTGAACAGTCGGCCAGATAAGTGGAGAACACCTTGAGGGAGGCAGATATGTGGTTTTATAAAAGAATACTTGACTTATTCTGCAGATTGACCGACACTTTCCATGTTCATATTTTGAACAGTTGTGTACTGCACCTGACAAGAAATACTTTCATGTGTACATATTTTGGGTTTCATTGTTGTTCAATTTTTGTCTCATGATTTTAATGATACTTTATCCATTTTAGCTGGAATCTAGTAAACATTGATTACAATATTGCCTTTTTTTCCCTTTTTCTTTAAAAAAAAAATTTTTTTAAGCAAACTGCTGGGTATATGGCGGTGCAGTTTACAGTAAATGCGACCCATTGGCTCTCTATCAAGTATGTCATAAAAGGGATTAGGGATTTTGCCTTCAGAGTCAGGTCAGAAAACATCTGCCTGAGAGGCTAGGAACCAACATTCTGCATACAAATAAGCAGATCTGTAAAATCGTTCTGCACACATAATTCAAGTTCTGGAACAAGATTATAGTCCAGAAGTAGGCGAACAACCAGAACTTTCTGCTGGATTTTACAGCTGATAATCTTCAAAAGAAGAATGCAGTTTCTTTCTTAAGTTTAAAAAAAAAATATTCATAAGTTTTCCAGTATGGCTGTTAAATGGTGTGGGATCCATGGCAGACCTTTGAAAATAAGAGAGGTCAGCTGGACATTTTGACATCGTGATATGGGAGACCATCTACGTCAGAAATAACTGAAAATACATGACACAGAAGGCTGCAGATAGAAATGACTACCGCCATCCGGCTGGGATTTTAAGAGGAATTACTATGTTATTTGAGGTCACCGTGGTGTAGTGGCTAGATGCTCAGCTGCGGATCGGAAGGTCATAGGTTGATGGAGCCGGACTTTTTTTCTCCAGAAATGACCCTGGCTTCCAGGTCAACTCAGCCTTGAGTGGATACCAGATGCAGTCCTGGAAAGTTAAGGTGGCCAGTGTGGTGCTGATCACATCAGCCACCAAGTGCCAAATGGTCTATAAAATATAGGTCTAGCCCTATATGCCCAAAACGCCTGAAGGCGTGGGGAATGATCCTTTACTTACTATTTTTTTTTAAAAGGTGTCCCATGTGTTTCTATGCAAAGGAAAAATAAACAAATCATCATCAGGTGCCTAGCTGACTGGCATGGGCTATCATGCCTCTCCACAATCTGTGATCTCCTGCAGCATGTATCAACAAGACTGTCACCAGCGCCATTAAGAGCTCAACTCCAGCTGTGCCTAGTGTTCTTCAGCAATAGAGAACATGCATCGAAATGTTTTTAAAACACTGGTAGTCATATACAGTATTGAGTGATGATGATAACTGGCATCTTTCCTTCTTTTCAGATGATAGTTATATTGCCCTATGAGGAGGCATGGGACTCAGCCCATGGCTATGGCGAGTGCGACTAGCCAGATCTGCTCACGTTAAGAAAAGTCTTCCACAATTATAGTACGAGATTTCAGTAGCGATGTAGTCACATTTGTGTTTAGGGTGTTTCTTCTCATCTTTTCTGCAATCATTTCTTCCTTCTGTGTGGGGTATATTTATAAAATAGTTTTTCTTTTTACAAAAATGTTAATTTTTCATGGAAACTTATGGGATATCAGGTATGCATATTTCCTACTTCAAACAAATGACTAGTAGAGCTGAATGTGTTGTAAGTGCTTTATTGTAAAGATAAATTTAACCAAAACAGTGGTATGTCTTTAAGGAAGCAGACAACAGAACCAGCACCGATCACCCACTCTTTTAGCCAGACAACAGAACCAGCACTCATCACCCACTCTTATAGCCAGACAACAGAACCAGCACTGATCACCCACTCTTTTAGCCAGACATCAGAACCAGCACTGATCACCCACTCTTTTAGCCAGACATCAGAACCAGCACTGATTGCCCACTCTTTTAGCCAGACATCAGAACTAGCACTGATTGCCCACAAGCAGACAACAGAACCAGCACTGATTGCTCACTCTTTTAGCCAGACAACAGAACCAGCACTGATTGCCCACAAGCAGACATCAGAACCAGCACTGATTGCTCACTCTTTTAGCCAGACATCAGAACCAGCACTGATTGCTCACTCTTTTAGCCAGACATCAGAACCAGCACTGATTGCTCACTCTTTTAGCCAGACATCAGAACCAGCACTGATTGCTCACTCTTTTAGCCAGACATCAGAACCAGCACTGATTGCCCACAAGCAGACAACAGAACCAGCACTGATTGCCAACAAGCAGACATCAGAACCAGCACTGATTGCCCACAAGCAGACAACAGAACCAGCACTGATTGCCCACTCTTTTAGCTAGACAACAGAACAAGCACTGATTGCTCACTCTTTTAGCCAGACAACAGAACCAGCACTGATTGCCCACTCTTTTAGCCAGACAACAGAACCAGCACTGATTGCCCACTCTTTTAGCCAGACAACAGAACCAGCACTGATTGCCCACTCTTTTAGCCAGACAACAGAACCAGCACTGATTGCCCACTCTTTTAGCCAGACAACAGAACCAGCACTGATTGCCCACTCTTTTAGCCAGACAACAGAACCAGCACTGATTGCCCACAAGCAGACAACAGAACCAGCACTGATTGCCCAAAAGCAGACAACAGAACCAGCACTGATTGCCCACTCTTTTAGCCAGACATCAGAATCAGCACTGATTGCTCACTCTTTTAGCCAGACATCAGAACCAGCACTGATTGCTCACTCTTTTAGCCAGACATCAGAACCAGCACTGATTGCCCACAAGCAGACAACAGAACCAGCACTGATTGCCCACAAGCAGACATCAGAACCAGCACTGATTGCCCACAAGCAGACAACAGAACCAGCACTGATTGCCCACTCTTTTAGCTAGACAACAGAACCAGCACTGATTGCTCACTCTTTTAGCCAGACAACAGAACCAGCACTGTGCTCACTCTTTTAGCCAGACAACAGAACCAGCACTGACTGCTCACTCTTTTAGCTAGACAACAGAACCAGCACTGACTGCTCACTCTTCTAGACAGACAACAGAACCAGCACTGATTGCTCACTCTTTTAGCTAGACAACAGAACCAGCACTGATTGCTCACTCTTTTAGCCAGACAACAGAACCAGCACTGATTGCTCACTCTTTTAGCCAGACATCAGAACCAGCAATGATTGCCCACTCTTTTAGCCAGACAACAGAACCAGCACTGATTGCCCACTCTTTTAGCCAGACAACAGAACCAGCACTGATTGCCCACTCTTTTAGCTAGACAACAGAACCAGCACTGATTGCTCACTCTTTTAGCCAGACAACAGAACCAGCACTGATTGCTCACTCTTTTAGCCAGACAACAGAACCAGCACTTATTGCTCACTCTTTTAGCCAGACAACAGAACCAGCACTGATTGCTCACTCTTTTGGCCAGACAACAGAACCAGCACTGATTGCTCACTCTTTTAGCCAGACAACAGAACCAGCACTGATTGCTCACTCTTTTAGCCAGACAACAGAACCAGCACTGACTGCCCACAAGCAGACATCAGAACCAGCACTGATTGCCCACAAGCAGATATTAGAACCAGCACTGATTGCCCACTCTTTTAGCCAGTCTGCCATCTCCGACAAGGTTGTTGAGAACTTGGGTCATGCTCTTGAAAACATCTATATTTATATAGCAACCCTGGAAGAAAAGATATACTGTATTAACTGTACATTTACAATAGGATCAGAGTTAGAGGATCTGGTTGACACTTAACACTCAAGGGAAAAGCCAGATGGATATACAATCAGACAGTCACTGGTACCATATGAATTGGAACTCTTCGCTTGCTGCTGAAGATAGGGATGGAGCGCTTATAGGAGTGTCCTGAGTTTTGAAGTTGATTCTTAATTCAGCAGTCAACAATATGGATTACTGAATACATCTATTTTTACAAAACAATCCTGGAAAAATGTAACTTTACATGTATAATTTAATATTTCTACATTAACTAAGCAACACTGAAAAACAAAGGCAATGTAACTCAACATATCAAATCAGGCAAATTTTTGGCTTTTATATTTACTAAGCTTTTTCTTCTTCTTCACTTCCTCTGTTACTGCTTCGGGTGTCGAGGGAGATATAAGTTCTGCCTCTTGCTCGTCTGGCTGCCTTGACCCACTGTGCTGTTATTTGGTGTCTCTGATGTTATCTTTCCATCCTGTTCTTGATCTACCTTATGCTCTACATCCTTCTTCTCTTTTCGTGTATGCCTTGTTTGGCATGGTGTCACAAGACATTCTCTCTAAGTGGGCAAACCATTTGATTTGCTGTCTTTGTAGGTAATTTAAGAATAGTTATCTGCCGGCTTTCATTCTTGTGACCTCATTTCTGATTTAACCTCTTCTGGTCACTCCTGCAGCCTTTCTCAGACATCTCCTTTCCATGATTCACAAAGTAACATTTAAAGAAAAAAGAAAATGTAACATTACATCCACAATCTGGCACACTAAAGGTTAAAGGTGAACCAAATGGTGATGGTGTAAAAGCAGCTGACTCTTTTCCATACCTATCTTGAAGCGTACAGGCTATATGATGCCTACCCTGCATGCAAAGACTGGACTCAGCTGATTATGCGGATGAAACCTCTTATTGGTTTAACGAACAAAAAGGTGTTTACCTGCAGGCTCTGTGGAGAGTTTCAAGTAAGGCAGGGCTCTTAAGATGCCTTGGTCGTCCACTGCACCTAGGTCCATTTCCACTCATCTCGACATTGTCCTGCCATTGGATCAAGATGGACACAGGCGAGAGAGTGAGGTCGACGAATTGCGCAACTCTTCCTCACTTAAATCAAGGTCCTTGCGCAAGTCACTTTCATCCAGCTACTTTGGATGAAAGTGGTCTTCATTACTCGTGATGTGCGAACAACATAACAGGCTATATGATGCTAGCCTCGTATTCATATTTCATGAAAAGATATCAAACCAGACGAAAAGTAGAAGCAATTAGCTTCACAATATCGCAAACACAAACAACAAGTGAACGTTGCGGCTAGAGAGACTTCATCAGCACATTACATGAATACACAAAATCATTTTTGACACGTGTGTGACCACCAGAAAGTAAGTCTTCCAAAAAATAAAAACAAAACCGAATGATTCGTACCTTTGTTTCATGCTTCTATTTAAGGTAAACTGACCTCTCCCATGAAGAAGTGGAGAAACACTAGCTCTTCTACTGCAGCAAGATGGGCACATGAGAGGAGACAATCACACCGACAACACAGGGATATGTTTATCAAAGAATATTCGACTAAGAGATAAGGAAAGACAGACTAATGAGTTTTACCTTTAAATGTCTCATGCCTCCATTTGAGGTGAAATGACCTCTCCCGTGCAACATTCGGAGATTGTTGAACACAACCAGCTCTCCAGGTTGTAATCTGTGTTTAAGCTGTGCAGTATGTACAAAGATACACAGGGTTATTCCAAATGATGGATACACTTTGATTCATGTATATTTCCTTGAAGATACATTACATATCTATATTAATCAAAATCTTAATTTTCCGGTGTCGTTAGCTCTAAACTCGGAAACTACTGAATCGATTGCTTTCAAATTTTCACACAACCTTGCCTCTGACTCAAAGCGTTATTTTTTGTCATAATGAATGACGTAGCTCCAGCAACGGTCAAATCATTATTTGTTTTGTTGGCTGCCCGGATTTATTTTTAAGGAATTGGCCACCTTTGACTGTGCCACACCGACCTTCGCATTATTATTATATACTTTCATTTCTACTAAATACTTGAGTATTCTGTAGCGTAGTTAGTTGTAAGCATTTCGCTTTTTTTAACTCGGGTGATAAGGGTTTGATTCCCCGCTATTTGATATAAATTTTTTTTTGGGGGGGGGGCCCCTAACTGGGTGGTTGCCACGTTTTGTTGTGGTTTATAGCTAGGCTGCAGTATCTACGTTTTTTTCCGTTAGATTTTGGGGTTTACAGCTAGCCTGCAATAGCGGCGAAGTGATGCTCAATGTTCATGTCACGGGTAATCTTCGTTCGCTCTGAGAGGGCGGTTGGAACGTTGTGTTGTGGTTTACAGCTAGGCTGCGATATCGCACCCAGTCTTAGGTAGTATATTTGTACGTATTCCGCCCTTCACGTGGTTGACCGGTGTTCAATTACCCACTGGGTGCTAATTTTTTTTTTCCCTCAAGAGGGCTGTTGACATGTTGTGTTGTGATTTACAGCTAGGCTGCGATATCTGCACCTTTCACCCAAAGACATCCGATTTCAGTAAAGTCCCATTTATCCTCCCCGCGACGCTTCACTCGATAATAAACTATTCGTAGATGACAGAAGCTGTTAACTAAGACTGCTTACAGTCCAGTTTACTTTGGGTGGACACGGATGCCAAGGTCATTTAACATTCGTCCCTTCGGAGAGGGGAGATGACGGGTGGGATTTTTTATTTCCTCTGTTTGTGAGTATAGAACAGACTATTACTGTGGGTTTTTTTTTTTTCTGTTGGGAGCTCAATTACACTAAACAGTCCGTGGCGACATCATGCAGCGCTAACTCCTCTGGCTACACCGACCTGCACAGACAGTAGTGACTGTTTTTTGTTTTTGTTCTGAGGGTGGTGGTGGTAGTGGTAGCAGTAGTACTGGTACTGGATGGGTGATGTGGTAGCTGTTACACTGGCCACTTTTACTTCTCATTACACATTAATGCTATCCATCTGTCTCTGGGTGGACACGGATGCACAGCTCAGTTCCATTACAATATTTCGTCAGATGATGACTTTCCCATCCTTCGGCGAGGATGATATGATTAGTGGGGGGAAAGGGGGGGGGGGGGGGGGGTTATAGCAGACACTGTTAACTGAGAGACCTTAGAACATAATTTTAAAGTTATCATTTCTTAACTATTTCTATTTTAATAATTTCGCCAGGTGATGATTTTTCTATTCTTCGGAGAGGGAGATATGACTGGGTGGAGGGGAGAGGGACGGGGGTTGAGGGTTATAACAGACACTGTTAGTTGAGAGCTACTTTCTTTCTTTTCCACCAGTGAAGTGCCAATAAGTATTAAAATGTGTTTCTAGCACAATTTGCCAAACATGACTATAGCATGAAATCATTTTTTAATTTTATAAACAGTGCAATGTTTCTACACAGCATGTGGTCAGTGCAATGTTTCCACGCAGCACTGTCAGTGCAAGGTTAACATACAGCACACGGTCAGTGCAATGTTTCCAAACAGCATGTTGGTCAGTGCAATGTTTCCAAACAGCACACTGTCAGTGCAATGTTTCCACACAGCATGCAGTCAGTGCAATGTTTCCAAACAGTACAAAGTCAGTGCAGTGTTTCCAAACAGTACAAAGTCAATGCATTGTTTCTAAACAGCACAAAGTCAGTGCAATGTTTCCAAACAGCATGCGGTCAGTGCAATGTTTCCAAACAGTACAAAGTCAGTGCAATGTTTCCAAACAGTACAAAGTCAGTGCAATGTTTCCAAACAGCATGCAGTCAGTGCAATGTTTCCAAAAAGTACAAAGTCAGTGCATGGTTTCCAAACAGTACATGATCAGTGCAATGTTTTCAGATAGTACGCAGTCAGTGCAATGTTTCCAAACAGCATGCAGTCAGTGCAATGTTTCCAAACAGTACAAAGTCGGTGCAAGGTTTCTAGACAGTACGCAGTTAGTGCAATGTTTCCAAACAGCATGCAGTCAGTGCAATGTTTCCAAACAGTAAAGTCGGTGCAAGGTTTCCAGACAGTATGCAGTCATTGCAATGTTTCCAAACAGCATGCAGTCAGTGCAATGTTTCTAAACAGCATGCAGTCAGTGCAATGTTTCTAAACAGTACAAAGTCGGTGCAAGGTTTCCAGACAGTACGCAGTCAGTGCAATGTTTCCAAACAGCATGCAGTCAGTGCAATGTTTCCAAACAACATGCCGTCAGTGCAATGTTTCCAAACAGTACAAAGTCGGTGCAAGGTTTCCACACAGCACACAGTCAGTGCAATGTTTCTACACAGCATGCGGTCAGTGCAATGTTTCCACACAGCACACGGTCAGTGCAATGTTTCCACACAGCACACGGTCAGTGCAATGTTTCTTCACAGCATGCGGTCAGTGCAATGTTTCCACACAGCACGCGGTGAGTGCAGCAACATAAACAAGAAAACAATGGCTGTTACTAAATATTGCAAACCCACTTACCATGTGTGGGGAATTCTTGATTGCTTTTGCAAACATCTCGTACGCCCTATAGTAGGGCTCTACATCTGCCTGAATTTAAATAAAATATAAACAACCAGTGTTACTTTCAGAGTTTTTTTTTTGTTTGTTTTTGTTTTATGATCTTCACTGAATATCATTCCTCTTCTTATTGTCCTTGTCCTGTGGTGTTGATTATCATGTATTTTTCTTCTACTTCTTCTATGTTAACCCCTAAAAATGTGGATGGAATGTTGTGCTGTGGTTTACAGCTATACTGTAATATCTGTGCCTTTCTGCATACTTGTAAGAAAGGTGAAGGTCACCCCCTCTCCCAAAAAGGGATCCCAGAACTCACAAGGAGAGTTTGTCATGTCTGTCCATAGCCTGTGGTTCAGACACAAGGGATTTATCATGTCTGTCCAGAGCCTGTGTTTCAGACACAAGGGGTTTGTCATGTCTGTCCATAGCCTGTGGTTCAGACACAAGGGAATTTTCATGTCTGTCCATAGCCTGTGGTTCAGACACAAGGGGTTTGTCATGTCTGTCCATAGCCTGTGGTTCAGACACAAGGGGTTTGTCATGTCTGTCCATTGCCTGTGGTTCAGACACAAGGGGTTTGTCAAGTCTGTCCAAGGCCTATCTACACACTACCTGACCTTTCATTCATACTTTCTCAGACTCTTCTACGTCGGTGGGATGTCTTCCCTCCAACTACATCAGCACTGATCTTGCGTGTTCTATTCTAAACGATGACACAGCTTTCAACGACCCCAGAACATGTACAAGTGGCCCTAAACCAAACCTCCTTATCCATAGCCTCAACCTAGGTCATACTAGAGACTCTTTTTGAAGAAAACAGTACAATGTGACAGCTCTGTGACCTAGATCAGACTGAGAAAATGTGTAGATGAACCTGGAAATATGAACAGGTCCTACAGGTTTTCTTTAAAAAAAACAATGTGGGGGTGTGGGGGGGGGGGGCGCCTCAAGAGGCTTAAGCATTGTTTAAGTTATCATCATCATTTACTTCTGCTATTAAGTGTCATGGGGAGGAATAATTTGTGTCTGTGTATGACAGTAACTTTGTTCAAATAAGAATGATTCTGTGATAGGTCCATAGGGGATAGGGGAAATTTATTTGTTCATGTGGAAAAACAGATGTAAGATAAGTTTTACATGCCCAATTTGGAACCCTTTATAAATAAAGTTTTTTTTTTCTTTTTTCTCATCAATATTTGTCAGGGTTTCTTTTAGGAATCCTCGTCTCCTCAATCGATTGTTCCCATTTAAGTGCCTGTCTGATGAGCCGCGGTGGTGAAGCAGTTAGATGTTCTGCCTGCCACTCTGAAGGTTTTGGGTTCAAATCCACATCACGTTGGATTCGGTTTTTTTTAAATGATGTTGACTGAAAGATTCACCCAGCCTAAAATAGGTACCAGGTATAAAGTTCAGGGAAGTAAAGGCAGCTGACATGATGTCGACTACATCATTCACTGAGAGGGGGGCTGCATGGTCATGAGGTATGGTGTCTGCCTCGAGTGCTTTAGGTCCCGGTTTCGGGCCCCAGTTAGGGCTGGGATTTTTTTTTCTGTTCACATCTTCTTCTTCTTCTTCTTCTTCTGCCTTTCTATCCCCCAATGGAGCATAGGCCCTCAACCAACTCACGCCAAGTCGTTCTATCCTTCGCCATTACATGGAGCTCTCCCCATGTCCTCCCAATCTTTCTAACCTCATTTTCCAGCTCTCTTCTCCATGTGTTTTTTGGCCTTCCTTTATTCCTATGCCCCTGTGGGTTCCAATGCAAAGACATTCTAGTAATGCTGTTCTCCTGTTTTCTCAGTGTGTGCCCTATCCAACGCCAGCATCTTTTCCTCACCTCCTGATCCACTGGAGCCTGTTTAGTACTTCTTCTAGTAATTCCCCCTGGTCTCTGGGTAGTGAGATCGGATGCCCGTGTGTATTTCTGTGCACGTAAAAAAAATCCTTTGGTAGTTGAAAGTAAAAAGGGTAGCCTAATGGAGCTACCCGGGCAAAATTTGGGGTTAAAAATCGACCCAAAATATTTCAGGATCCTCGCCGGTGCTACGGAGCCCGTGCACTGCGCTGAGCTACTTCGGACTCAGACTTGGGTTAGAAGTAGAACGGAGCACTTATGGGTTACTACCAGGGTGCCATGATGTTGATCCGTTGTTCAAAACTTCAAACTTCAAACTTCATTGAGAGCTGACTGGTCTACAAAAATATGAATCTGACATCAAATGCCTTATGCGCCACTGGTGCGAAAAATATCCTTGACTTTTTAGAAGCTTGTCTATGGATTCTGTTATTAGCCACAAATTTACTCATATAAAATATAACCAGCTAACAACCACGCCTTGGGGAGTGGAGGGTGAGAAACAACAATGAAAACTGGCATCATGAGAGCTAATAAACTGAAATGGTTGGGGCAAATTCAGAGAATGTCAGATGACAGAGAAGTAAAAACTGTATATACAAGGGAGATGAATGGTCAAAGACTATGAGGCAGACCAAGATGACGATGGAGGGATAAGGTCCAGACAAACCTGCAAACACTAATGGCTCTTAATGTCACCGGGTGTCTATCTCTCAGTGTGATGTTCTGGTGCAATGATCAGCCGTTTAGGCGATCGAGTTTGTCTTTCGGGGGCAAATTTAACAACCTAACCCATCTGTGTTAACAGTACTAGTGAAGGTGTCCTGAATCCTTAGGTTCCCTTGTCTACACCATCCTAAAGAAGTGGTAAAAACAGTCAGCTGACAGTGGGTGTCACCAACAGGAAAGAGAAGACCAACCAGAGAGATGAATGGAGGCGAGTAATATCTGCAGCAATAAACATCAAGGGCTCGGAACACTGAAGAAGAACAACTACAACAACTTCTTACCCCAACAACTGACAACGGACCTTCAAATGGAGGAGCCCAGTAAATAGCCACAACCTGATAGAGAAATAAAACTGTTTCATGTTTTTAAACAAAATAATGGTATCCCAGATCACTTTAAATATTTCCAAAGATAAATTACATAAAACGATTATCATAATTATTTTAAAAGTAAACTTAACTCTTTGAGCCCCAAGGAACCCAGGTTCCTACCGGGACGCCCAATGAATGCAAGATGACTTGATTTTACATCTCTCTTTACTACCCCTTGGGTCTCTGATGCTAAACCCCCTGGGACTTAAAGAGTTAAAATATAATAAACTTAACAAGTTAACTCCTACAATCTTAACAACTAATACATAATCTATCCAATACTAAATACCTTTACTTCCCAGGAATTTACCTGGTACCTATTTAAGGATGGGTCGCCCTGGCAGCCAAAGTCAGGTTCTGTCAGGTTTCTGGGTCATGCTGATAACATGGTGTTAATAAAGGAGTAAATGACCCTGTTCCATGTCTTTAGGCTTAGCTGGCACCCAGGGCTAGACACATACTGTCTCATGTACTTTCAATCAGTTCTGACACAGATTATCCTCCACGCCATGATGTCAAACTGTCATGCATCTTCTTTCTCTGTCTCCCTCTGCCTTTTTTCCCGTCCCCTTCTCCCACCATCACGACATACTCCCGTTTTTATTCCCATCTCAAGACGCAACCGGGGAATGTAGATTGTTTCCTTCTAATGTGGGGGAATGTAGATTGTTTCCTTCTAATGTGGGGGAATGTAGATTGTTTCCTTCTAATGTGGGCAATCGGATCTTTTCATGAGTTAATTTTGTATTTGGAAGACAACCTCATTACACTTTTGATCTGTCCAGGGTACTCGCATCATTATTCTACAAAACCATGTCCACTGCTTTCAAATAATTTTTTACTAATCATCCAACTGTCCATGATTTGTATAGTTACTTACAATGTTAATACTCTTTGTTTCCCTTTCGATCCTTGGTAATTCATCCGTGATCTGACAGACATATGTGCTTAAATAACATGACACTGAGTCAAAGGGCAAACTCCAAAGCACTTTAGATATAGGGAAAACACCTGAATGAAATTGTTCTTTTGCAATAAAATAAGTTGTTCCAGTGACTGTTTGTAAAATAACTAACACGCCTGCTGCCTGTATGGTGATTTAAAAAATAAAGCTACTGTTTAAAAAAAAATATAATTTTACAATTACCTCGCCCATGTGATTCAGTCTGATATGAGGCTTTTGATTTACGATGTGAACTGGATAGTCCCTGAAAGAAACACATTAAGGGATATTGAGACAAGATATTTAATGTACTGATTAAATTATATTCATAATTTCTACACATAAAAACCATACCATAAAGATAAATCATTTAATTACAATTTTTTAATGCCATCATATGAGATATTCTTTAAAATTTATCTGTTTAATAATATCCTAAAAAATCCAATAGAACTGATTTGTTTTTTCTGAATGCCTTGTTATTTTTATTCTGTTTCAAGAAAATCTACTAATCTACTCAGTTTTATATCATAAGTGATGAAAATGACACAATTATCACTAACTGAACACTCTTGTTATTGGGATGAATCAACATTTTAAGTGAACTGCCTAGACAATATTCATAAAAAATAAGCCCAATGGAAGAACTGAGGTCTTTCATGAACAAACACCACAAATAAAACATACAATACAGCGTCAAGTCAAATACTTTATCTTGTTCAGCAAAAGTAATCACTTATAAAACTGTCACTATACCCACAATGTTTTCTTCTTCTTTGCATGCGTGCACCAAGGATATGGTTGTGCGTGTTTATAGCATGGATGCAGTGTCTGTGCTACTTAAGCCAACACATCCAGCATCTTCAGTCATTTGTTGCCAAGTTAGCCTTCTCAGATACTCATAGTATTAAATGGATCAGAAATTTGGAGAAGAACACAGTAAAATCTAGATTAATTCTTAGTACACTGTAAACCGATCAAACATCTTGAAAGAGCTCAGGTCGGAGATCAAAAGATAAATTGTCCAAGAGATGCTGATGACACAGTTCTTATAGTGGAATCTGAAAGCATTCTACAAACTAATCAAAACAAAGTGATGGAGAACAGTGAGTGTATTAGGTTAGTTTTGTACACACTGGTATTCCATTTTTTGCTTGTATGATGCAGGTTCTTCCTAGAGTATCCTGGTCCTGGTGTTTAGGCTAGAGACTATATTTTGTAGTAGGCTGTGTATCCTTTAAAGAACGTCACAGAACGAATTCCAGCATTTTGATGTTGCCATTTGTGATTTTACTAGGCAAATTTTACGTTCAGTAGTCTGCCACTGCTTTCTGTAACTGACTCACAGAGTATGATGAGAAAGTTGCAGACACACATGCTCCATTCAGAGTGGCAAGCATCACCTCAGAGGTCCTGGGTACTAAGCGGCCTTTGGATATTATTCTAGGGTACGCCGGTGTGTTAGGAAATGAGCAGGCAGACAGACTGGCCGGTTCTGCATCATTTGATAGTGAAATGATGTATAACAAGCTAGATGTCATAAGGCCCCTTTGGGAGCGAGTGATCAGTGTGGAGGCACAAACAGATCATTACTATTTGAGGAGAATGGAGTTACCAGCGGATCTGGTCGACGCTCAACACTCAAGGGAAAGGCGAGACAGATGTACAATCAGACTGTTACTGGTGATATTAGAACTATTCCCTTGATGTTGAGAATGGGAACTAAGAAGCGCTTATGGCAGGGCCCCGAATGCTATAATATTGATTCTTAACTCAACATTAAACTGCCCTCTGAAAAATCGACCCTCAATATCACTGCTGAAACCAACACAAGGCAGTTTGCTGCCAAAGTGCCGGTAGCTGGCATTAAACCGGGCAACTCAGAATTATGAAGCACACTCACGAAGCCTGAGCTCTCAATGCTGACTGTGCATTAGTATAGGTGTATAACAAAAGTATTCTAAACTGAGAAAGATGACATAAAGTTCTAGCTAACTTTGTTCCTGTGCTGAGAATAGTTTTTTTTTTCTTTTCCAGTTTGTTTTTATATGTGTCAGAGATTGAGACAGGTGGAAGATAAAAACATTTCAAATGATCTAAATACTACACCTGTCATAATGAATTTTCTGGAAAGTTGCAGGCACCGTTGTTAGAACATGGAACAAATCCGGATAGAGAATCCTGAACTCATCAGCAATAGTAAAGGCATCAAGAAATATGCTCTCCCCACCTTCAACACATTCATCAAACCTTAAAAACAGAAATATAATAATAAAAATGTTTAATTTATAAAAATAAGATAAAACAGCATGTAAGATGGGTGGGATAATTTCAGTCAGTTTGATTAACAGTTGTTGTCTTCTGTTAACTTTGAGGTTTTCAGGTTTTGAACAACGGATCAACATCATGGCACACGGGTGTAACCCATAGGTGCTCCGTTCTTCTTCTAACTCAAGTCTGGGTCAGAAAAAACTGTCTTCTGTCAGTTTTGTACATACTGGTATTCCGGTTTTGCATGTCTAATGCAGGTTCTTCCCCCACTATAGCACCGGCGAGGATCATGAAATACTTTGGGTAGTTTTTTAACTCCAAATTTTGCCCGGGCAGCCCCGTTAGGCTAATCTTTTCGATTTCCAACTGCCAAGGGATTTTTTACGTGCGCAACAATGCACACGGGCATTCCATCTCACTACCCAGAGACCAGAGGGATTTACTAGAAGTTCAAGTCCACATGCTCTAGCACTTAATGCAGACACCATGCCTCAAGACTACACAGAGTCCCTCTCTGTTAACTTTGTACGGGAGATGTTTTAGAACAGTCTTCTTCTTCAGAATTCAAACCCTGGAGATTCATTGCTGTAGCTCATCACTCAAGAACACAGAGGGCACCAGATTGTTATACTTAGTGACTCATTGTCTGTTCTCCAAGCACTATCCAGCAAAAAAAATGATACTTAGTGACTCATTGTCTGTTCTCCAAGCACTATCCAGCAAAAAACAAGATACTTAGTGACTCATTGTCTGTTCTCCAAGCACTATCCAGCAAAAAACAAGACAAACTAATTGCAGATCTAAGGACCAACATTGGCTTACTCTCCAAGGAAGCAGAACTGGTCTTGCAGTGGATACCAGCCCACTGTGGTATTCAAGGAAATGAGAGAGCAGATGAGTTAGCAAAAGCTGGGAGTAATCTTCCACAACCTCATCCACCACACAGCTACAAGGAAACCAAAACAGCGCTAAAGCAGTCTTTCAAGTGGGAGTGGAGAAGGTAGAATGGAGATTACAGACCAGAGAGTGACAGCATAAACAAACTCAACAGGAAAGAACAAACATCAATTTTTAGACTTTGGACTGGACACTGTGATCTTCGAGCACACCGGTACAGGATAGGCATAAAAGAATCTGCTGCCTGTGATTGTGGAGCAGAAAGACAAACCCTTGAACACATACTACAGTACTGCCCTAACCTCTCCCAGCAAAGACTGTGGATCTGGCCCAAGGGAGCCACATTGCAAGAGAAGCTATGGGGGACCGATGGCGACCTTAAACGCACAATCCTATTTGTGACCCAGACGGGACTCAATGTGTAGCATGACTGATGTCGTACGCAGAAGAAGAAGAAGATTCATTGCTGTAGCTATCCCTTACCTCCTATTCACTGCAATGACTGGCCTTCTCTTTCCAGTTGGTGTCTCCAAGTGTTTATAGAGCTGCCTGTAAATATCATTCTCAGTCTTCTTGATCTGCCTCACTGTCTACTCGAAAAATCTTATTTTGAGCCTTAGATATTTGTTTTGCAACAAAATGAGGTTTTATCAATGTTGAGGCATGTCCCATTGCTTTAACCCCTTTAACCTGGAGGTCCAGAGTGTCTCTTTTTGTTCTTTACACTTTTACCTATCTGACTTGAGAGGCCTTGTTGGCATCTATGCTACTGAGGGTCACCTAGAAACTCCAGCTCCCCAACTTGGACAAGTGGGCACATGTCCGGAGAGGCGACAGTATAGTGGCTTAAATAAACACAATGGAAGACAAGAACTGTAACATTCTTCTTCTTCTTATAATCCATGTCATGTGGCGTTTTTAGCTATGTAAATCCACAGCCCTCTGTCTCATATGGTATTGGTAGCCATGTAAATCCACAGCCCTCTGTCTCATCTGGTATTGGTAGCCATGTAAATCCACAGCCCTCTGTCTCATATGGTATTGGTAGCCATGTAAATCCACAGCCATCTGTCTCATATGGTATTGGTAGCCATGTATATCCACAGCCATCTGTCTCATCTGGTATTGGTAGCCATGAATATCTACAGCCATCTGTCTCATATGGTATTGGTAGCCATGTATATCCACAGCCATCTGTCTCATATGGTATTGGTAGCCATGTATATCCACAGCCATCTGTCTCATATGGTATTGGTAGCCATGTATATCCACAGTCATCTGTCTCATATGGTATTGGTAGCCATGTATATCCACAGCCATTTATCTCATATGGTATTGGTAGCCATGTAAATCCACAACCCTCTATATCATATGGTATTGGTAGCCATGTATATCCACAGCCATCTGTCTCATATGGTATTGGTAGCCATGTATATCCACAGCCATCTGTCTCATATGGTATTGGTAGCCATGTATATCCATAGCCATCTATCTCATATGGTATTGGTAGCCATGTATATCCACAACCCTCTATATCATATGGTATTGGTAGCCATGTATATCCACAACCCTCTATATCATATAGTATTGGTAGCCATGTATATCCACAACCCTCTATATCATATGGTATTGGTAGCTATGTATTTCCACAGCCCTGTTTCATATGGTATTGGTAGCCATGTATATCCACAACCCTCTATATCATATGGTATTGGTAGCCATGTATTTCCACAGCCATCTGTTTCTTATGGTATTGGTAGCCATGTATATCCACAACCCTCTGTTTCATATGGTATTGGTAGCCATGTATATCCACATCCCTCTGTTTCATATGGTATTGGTAGCCATGTATTTCCACAGCCCTGTTTCATATGGTATTGGTAGCCATGTATATCCACAACCCTCTGTCTCATATGGTATTGGTAGCCATGTATATCCACAGCCCTCTGTCTCATATGGTATTGGTAGCCATGTATATCCACAGCCATCTGTCCCATACGGTATTGGTAGTCATGTATATCCACAGCCATCTGTCTCATATGGTATTGGTAGCCATGTATATCCACAGCCCTCTGTCTCATATGGTATTGGTAGCCATGTATATCCACATCCCCCTGTTTCATATGGTATTGGTAGCCATGTATATCCACAGCCATCTGTCTTATGTATTTTCAATCATTTAAGTGACATGTGTCGAACTGTTTAGCATCTTCTCTCTTAGTATCCTTCAGCCCTTTCTCCAGTTTACTCCTTCTCATGACATGACCAAATAGTGTAGATTGTCTCCATCTGATTTTGGCACGACTTCTCTTTGTGAGTTACTTTCTTACATCATCTTTACTCTTCTTCATCTTTCTAGGGTGTCCCCAGCAGCCACCACCATAGTCATCAATCAGCATGTCCTTTACAGAACCTTGCTGTCTTCACAACACGCCTGAAAGTCTATCTTTTTCTAGCCAATTCTCCAGCCCTATGTGCTTTCATAACCAACGCATCTTTGATGTCCTGTATCTACCTTTGTGAATGGTTTGTCTCTGCCTCATTTTTGAGAAACTGCATCCTCCATCACCGTTTTCTCTCCAGACCACCACGGTGCTTAACATGTCCAAAATACCTCAGCTTTCGTGAAAGGATACTGTTTATGAGCCAGTTCTTGATATCCTCATCAGCCACCAGCATGAGGGAAAAATATTTTTTATTACAGACCTGCTCTTCAGGTCAACCAAGTCTTCATCTTCTTCTTCTGCACCATCCAAAGATGTAAATGTGTTGTGCCCTTTTACAACATACTGCAATATTTATGCTATTTTTAGCCGATACATCTGACTTCTGCAGGCATTTGCTGCCCATGTCATCCCAGAATTGAACCAGTCTAAAATGGATGTCAGAAATGTCCTAATATTCAAAGATAGACAATATGAGGGGCATTCAGAAAGTAAAGCTTCATTTTTCTCCACACAAACTATAGAATGTATTAAATTAAATGACATTATATAACTCATGCCTTTTACACATCCTAATTTTCTGTATAACCTCCTTCCATTTCTATGACCTTAGGTCGCTGCAAAAACATCAATACATTTCCATAGCTTTTACCCTTTCGCTGATTAAAATAAAAACGGACCCCCCCACCCCCCTATCCAAAAAAACCAGCCGTTTCTCTTTGGTGCATGTCAAAAGTGGGATGGCCATCTTCAAACTGCCATTGCCACATCACCGTAGTTATCTTGTCATGATGTTGAGTGCTTAACACTCTTGACCTCCTTAACAATACTGACAGTTTACAAGACAATGGTATAATTTTTGTAATTTATATCACATTTTTAAGGTTTTCATTTGAAGCCCTTCGTATTTCAGTCAATACTGTCTATGAACCTCTTTTTCTTTCTTCTTTGCTTTCGGTTTTGTATACTCAGGTTTTGGAACAGGACTAGAGTCCAGAAGTGGATGAACAACCAGAACTTTCTACTGGAGCTGACAGCCTGTGAATGCAAAGAAGACGAAGAAGTATGCTCAGGTAAGACCATCAGGTGGGTTGCCTCTATAAACCCCCATGTCAACACCAGGTCCTTCATGGTTCCCCATAGCTAGCTCTGCACATTTTACTCTCGAGGCCAGGTTTCTTTTCAAAGTTGTAGGTAGAGTGGACATGTCTGCAGAATAAGCTCAAGTGTTTGTGGTCCTGTCTGACAGGCACACTGTGGGGTACTGTACAGTCTTTAGTTTATGCACGTGGTAGTCAAGCCTGCAGTGTCCTGTTCATAGAGGGAAAATTGTTGTATATTGCTTTCTATCGAGTCTGCTGAGGGGGTGTTGAGGATGTTAACTGTTTGTTCTCTCCACAATTCCTTAAATTTTCCCCTTATAAGTGGTCAATGAACCAGGTCCTGAGAAATGTCAGTTTTCCTCTTTTTTTTCCTTACATGCCAAAGTCTCATAACCTTTCTTACATGCCAAAGTCTCATAACCTTTCTCACATGCCAAAGTCTCATAACCTTTCTCACATGCCAAAGTCTCATAACCTTTCTTACATGCCAAAGTCTCATAACCTTTCTTACATGCCAAAGTCTCATAACCTTTCTTACATGCCAAAGTCTCATAACCTTTCTTACGTGCCAAAGTCTCATAACCTTTCTCACATGCCAAAGTCTCATAACTTTTCTTACATGCCAAAGTCTCATAACCTTTCTCACATGCCAAAGTCTCATTACCTTTCTTACATGCCAAAGTCTCATAACCTTTCTCACATGCCAAAGTCTCATAACCTTTCTCACATGCCAAAGTCTCATAACCTTTCTTACATGCCAAAGTCTCATAACCTTTCTTACGTGCCAAAGTCTCATAACCTTTCTCACATGCCAAAGTCTCATAACCTTTCTTACGTGCAAAAGTCTCATAACCTTTCTCACATGCCAAAGTCTCATAACCTTTCTTACATGCCAAAGTCTCATAACCTTTCTCACATGCCAAAGTCTCATAACTTTTCTTACATGCCAAAGTCTCATAACCTTTCTCACATGCCAAAGTCTCATAACCTTTCTTACATGCCAAAGTCTCATAACCTTTCTTACATGCCAAAGTCTCATAACTTTTCTCATATGCCAAAGTCTCATAACTTTTCTTACATGCCAAAGTCTCATAACCAATATGTTTAATACAAATCAAATTAAAAATTTAAGATAGCTTACTGTTCCATATATGGTACTAGCTACAGGACCAACTAGTTCGGCGACCTGTTGGATCAAAAAAATTGTAGAGTTACAAAAGCATTCTCAGCTGATTATGGAGATCTTCGTGGCTGTCGAAAGTGTGGGTTCATTTCTGGGCTGCATCAATTGGTTTATGTGTGTCTCAAGGGATCATTGTTGTTATGTTATCACATTCGGCATCACTGCACACTGGGTATTTCCATGCATGCTTAGTCCTCCCATGCAGCAGCTACTCCAAGGTACCTCTACTAATGTTCTCATGAGGAGGAGTTGGTTATAATGTCTCCCATTTCAGCCTCGAAAGTAGCACAGACATGATTCACCATGCTTTACTCCCAGGCCATGCAATCATGTTTGTGTCAGAGATTCGTCATTATCCACTAGCCCATTCCATACAGTGTTGATGATAACTACTCTGTTAATGCTTCATCAAATATGCATTGGTGGCCTGCTTACCAGTTGGTCAGCTTACTCATTACCTTTCATGCCAGCATGACCAGGTGTCTAGATCCAGGTGAGGGACATCAAGTGCAATTTTCAAATACTTTCTACAAACTGAGAACACATACTATCTGTTTAAATTTCTGAAGCATGTTTATGGATTCTGATACAATTACTGCACGTATGACTGCTTGTTCTGCAGCCCTGACTAGTGCTCTGGAAGCTGTGATTATGTCCATGGTCAGGCTTAATGTAACTGCCTAGGGGTGATTGCTGGAGCTATGGAGTTTACCCATTGTGAAATACTTTCAGAATGTGGCTTGTTGTTCTCTGGGGAGATACTGAGCCATATGAGATCAATCTTTAAAATGGCTGTTGATAGTTGTCTTGCATACTAAATGATGAATGGTAGCAATCACTGTGAAAGCTGCAGTAGCATAGTGGCTAGTCACCTGTCTGAAAGTGTTGCGTTCAAATCCACACCGATCAGATTTAATTGACAACTGCCATGGCTTCCATGTTGATCCAGTCTAAACTTTGCACCAGGTAATGCCTTAAACATTGTGTGTGTGTGTGTGTGTGCATTTATCAGCTGTTAACTCCGGCAGAAAATCCTGGCTGTTCATCCATTTGAACTTTAGCTTGGTGTCAGGATCTGAGTGTTGCATGTGTACCCTTTGTACTGGCTTATTTGTGTGTAGTATGTTGCTCCTTGCCTCTCAGGCAGTGTTCTCCAACTTCAAAGGAAGATGTCAGTCCTATCTCTGTGATTCCTGTAGCCACTGTTTTGTAGGTCATGGTATTGAGAAGTAAAGGTGGCCGGCGTGAAATTTATGTCTAGCATCATATGCTCAGTGCAGCAATGATTTTTTCTTCTTTGCATTTACCAGCTATGAACTCTGATGGACAGTTCTGGTTGCTGTCCACTTCTGGACTCTGGTCTTGTCCAAGAACTTGAGCTTTGCATGCACATCCATTTTACAGACATGGCTTTATTGTACGCAGACTGTTGGTTCCTTGCCTCTCAGGCAGACGCAATCCGACTACAAAGGAAACACCCTTAAATAGTTTACTTTTACTTTCTTCCCCACAAGGGGAAGCCCTGATGTGAAAAAAAAAATGGTCCTTAACTTTTAAAAAAGGTGGCCACTGTAGAGCAGGAAGGTCATGGTTCAAATCTGCATCGAGTGGAAAGCTTTTAAAAATGACCTTGGCTCACAGGTCAGCCCAGCCTAAAATTAGCACCATTTAAAGTCCTGGGAAGTAAAGGTTTCCAGTATAATGTGGACCACATCACCCCCTGAGTGCTGATTTGTCTAAAAAAATATAAGTCCAGTACTGTATGCCTAATATGCCTATTGGAGTGGAAAAGCGTCTACTATACTTTTGCACTGTGTCACTTTAAATCCTGGATTAAAAAAATTTAACAGAAGTTTCCTGGACAAACCTATGAAGCATGAAAGAAGAAGCCTGTTTTGACATTAAACTTTCCTTGGCTATTTACCTATTAATAAAGTAACAGAAAATGTATTAATCGGCACTTATAGAAAGAAGTAGAAAGATAGAAGAACACGCTATTGGCTAGTTACCTGTGCTACCCGATGATCATCTAATGGCACATCCGTGACAATGCTGATTCCATCTTCATTAATCTGCTGTAACCACCTTCAATTTGATTTACAACAATATTATAATCTTTTATAACAACTGCAAATACTTACTGAATAACAAATGTTTAACAAAATTAATTAACAATTATTTTATCACAGAATGGGACTAGCACTGTGACAGAATCACTCATGCAGAGCTTACAGAGATAACTAAATATCTTTCAAAAAATCAAGTAGTGAGAAAAAGACGCTGGGAGTATATAAAAATCACATTATGAAAACCTGATAATATGTGTAGCTAGAATGTTCTTTTACTGGAACCCCCCCCCCCCCCCCCCCCCCCCCCAAATGAAATAGTGACTTAAAATGAGAAGCCACTTAAAGAAATAAATTAGATTTAGTACAAAGCACTGGTTTTACCAAATTTGGCTCATATATACATATTTTAGGCAGACACACATATCCAATCCCCCCCCCCTCTTCCACTCAACCAACCACCCAATCCCCTACCAACATACACAAACACACAGTCCTTCAATCATCCATGCACACAAACACATACACACTTAATCTTCTTAATCCTCTACCTCCACTCATGATCCTTCAACCATCCACACAAACACCCAATTCCCAAATTGCCTAATAACCAAAGACATTCAGACTGGACAGGAAGTCAGCTCGACAGGATAGTCAGTGTTCCAGGGAAACTTACAGTCAAATTCAGTACAGGCTTAATTAACATGTAGATTCGTTCAGCATTTGTTCCACACCCACACCGCCCCAGAGTCAACACAGACTAGAACAAGATTAAAACCAAGACTAATCATTCTAGATCCTTCCAGACATTTAATAATCTTTCTCACCCAAGTTCTAGAGAACCCACGTCCATGATTCTCACACTCTCCCATTTGGAACCGGTTAGGCAATTTGCTCGTTTGGCTAACATTTTTTCATGCACTACGATTGGTCCTCCAAAAATGCAAATACCTTATTCATATTTTTTTCTGACGTCACTTCCTCTGTAAATATAAATTATCGAGGAGAAAATGATTCACCACATCCCCCTTCACAGACCATCACAGCATCTCCCCACAATTAGACATGGTTATCAACATCACAGCATCTCCCCACAATTAGACATGGTTATCAACATCACAGCATCTCCCCACAATTAGACATGGTTATCAACATCACAAAGCACAAAATATCAGAAGAAGATTTGTTAAATAAAAGAATTTTGCAAAACAACATACACATAAATGCTAAACTATGTACCTGTGCACTACAACTAAAAGAATAATATTCAAATTAAAAATCTGACACATGAAAGTAATACCTGAGAAGTCCAGTTTTTGATGAAGTGATTTCCTGAAAAGTGACAGCTGGAATTTTCTGTGAAAATAAAGAGAAGATGTCAGTGCTTTGCAATTTTAAATACTTTGTAAATGAGGTGATTGTGGTAATTTTTGTTAAAACTTTTTAACAAATGCCACTGCGGTAATTTTGTTAACTGCTGTACATTTATCATCATAGAAAAGAATATATGAAGTGAAAACAAACAAGTTTGTCATATTTTATTTTGATTAGACAATACTGTATACTTTTTCCATCTATTTAATTTTTATTTGTTCAAACTGTTTTGTTTATTCTTTAAATTCCCTTGTTAACAAACAAATAGCACTCTAAAAAGTGCTATAACAAACATGGCCAAAATTCACCCATTCTGCATACATGTCCAAACCATCGTAACTGAGACTGATCCACTCGGGTTTGTGAGGACTGGGTATTAGGATCTTGATGTATTGTCTGATTGCAGACTTTGTCCCTTCTTGTCACTTGGACTACCTTTCTCAGATACCTCATTTCTGATCCCTGAAGCTGGCTTCTGTGAGCTGTAGTCTGCTCTTTTATTTCCCTTTAGTGTTGCAGTTGTCTGGGATGAACTAGAGACGTCTTCTTGGTTAACTGGCCCATTTGATTTAGCAGAGATCTAAGCTTGTTGAACTGTAGTTGCTTATTGTTTTGTATTGCTCGCAATCCTGACCGATATTATTTTAAAGAAAATATTCTATACTGTTTCAACTAGCCCGACGTGCCAGCTAAGTTGGTGTGTCACCCAGCTGCAAGGCGACCGGGTGACAAGTACCTTGTGGTCCAAGTTCACGCTTGGGGATAGGCAGAAAAGCTTTATATTTTCCAGATTTACGGTCTCTATCATGAAATCGAGGGCGAATGGTTGCAATATCTATAGTATCGAGGCAAAAGGCTAACAACTCAAGGTTTCTCCCCACACCCCCCCTCCCCTCCCCCCAGAAAAAATTACTGTTTCAATCTACTTAATTTTCATTATGATCAGTTAATTTGTTCACATTGTTTTGTTTACATTTAAATTCTTTTTAAACAAACATACAGCAATCCAGAAAGTACTGGAACATACAATAAATGTACTGTCTAAAGTTTTACTGACTTCCTACTGAAAAACGATGAATAGTAACAATAAGTTAAACAAAGATAAAGTTGAGAAGACTGTCTTCACTGCACCAGGTTTTATCCCATATTGCTTGGTCTCTCTGCAGAATGGCTAGCCCCCTGTCAAGAGCGTCACACAAAGTACAAACTCCACAGCTTTGGTGAGGTTCAATAGTGATCTACGTAAAAACTGGAATAGTGAACTGAATGACGTAGCCATGAAAGAAACCCATGAACTTCAGCGTGTGAGATAAAAGCTTAACCACTTCACCACAGAGATTTTTTTAATAGTAACACTTTAATCTACTAAGCATGGTGTGAAAGGCAAATATGGATGGTTTGATGTGATACTGAACACAACCCATCCCATAGAAAACTTTGGCTAGAAAATCCAAACTATCATCTTCAAATTGCTAGGCATGAGTTGGTTGCACTATAGTCGGCGGAAAAAAAGTCTTACAATTTACATGAGCTACTTCTTCTGTTGCAACTACCAGCGTGGTCGGGCTAGTGGAGCGCCATAGTGGCCGCTGCTGGTTTGAAGTTGTCCCGAGGCGAGATGCGCGTACATTAGAACGCGTCATTGCTGATCACGTGTTGCCCGGAATGATACAAAGAGGAAGTAGATAAAGGAGGAGACTGAGAAGGAGGTGTCTTAGAAAGATTTTAATTAGACCTGCATCTCAATAGGAAAAAAAAAAATCAGCCTCACCTTCACTGCTGTATCACATCTGACTTCCTGTCGTCTGGCTAGTATTGTCTCTACACTGTAGTTGTTTGCCCTCAAGTAACTGTAAGGGATATATCCTTTGTGACTGTGATCAAATCCGCTCCACTTCATTCTGAGTAAGTTATCTTGAAAATTGGTGTGAATTATCTTTTATGGTTATCAGCAACATTTCAGACAAACCTTCAGATAAATTTATAATCAATAAGCTGTGCACCAATAATTGGAGTAAACTGGTTGTGAACAAATAAGAAAATGATTTTTTTTTTAAACTTATTAACAAGCAAACTGTGCCAATGATTGTAGTCAACTAGTTAAATAAGCTAACCATGCACCAAAGTCTTGGCACCAATGATTGTAGTCAACTAGTTAAATAAGCTAACCACGCACCAAACTCTTGGCATCAATGATTAGAGCACACTATTTAACTCTTTGAGTCCCAAGGAACACATGATGCGCCCATTTTATGACTTTCTTTACTACCCCCTGGGACTCAAAGAGTTAATGAGCAAACTACGTCAAGGATTCATTTACTCACTAAACATAAAATCACTTATTGTCCTATTGCGTTATTATAATCACATGGGGCTCAGTCTATTCCTCCATTCCATTCTATCCTCCATTCCATTCTATCCCGTGTAATCACTTTAAATATCATGAATGGAATTATCCAGCACCTTTGGCTTCTCTCATCAACTTTCACTTTAGGGTTTCTTTTGGACATCCCTGTTTCCTTGCTTGTCTCCATCCCCATCTTCAACAACAGAGTTCCAATTCTAATGGCACTAGCAACAGTCTGATTGTATGTCCATCTCACCCCTCCACGAATCTAATTCTAACCATTCTTCTATAAAACAAAATCTCTGTAGCTTCCACATAACTTCTCACTAATCTACTAACTGTCCATGATTTACTTCTATACACCAGCATTACATGTGGAAACAAAAGTTAAATATTCTGCATCATCATAAAATTCCACTTTTGCCATTAAATGTGATAGATTGGAACAAATTGCTGACCAGCACTTGATGGGTATCTCTGGGTACTGTCATTCTATCTTGGTGTATGTTTAATATCATCAATCCATCTTCTTCTTAACTGCCCTCTTGATTCACATCAAACCTTTTTAAGTGTAAGCCTGTGGTGGTAGCTGCAGCTACATTCATACGAGATGGTGCAACTATTTATCTTCTGCTTCACAATTAATTTGGTGCAAGATCTTGTTCCCCCAGTATGTCTGATAGCATCAATTCTCACTGTCTCAGGTGGTTCAGTTTGTGGATTTCTTCATGTCCTTCATCTTAAATTATTGGGTTAAATATCTTATTTTGAAAAAGAATATAAAATAAAAACAGTATAATAAACATTGCCAGCCTGATGTTGCCCAACCCCCCCCCCCTCCCCCCTGTGCCTATTGTTCTATAAAATATAGGTCTAGCCCTATATGCCCACTAAGACTGAAGGTATGGATAAGGGGTCGTTTACTTACTTACAATAAACATTTCTGGTAAAGACAACAACAAACAACAAAAACACTTAGTTTGTGTCAGAAAGAACAACACAAAATGATTACCTTCCAAAGAAACACTGTCAATGTAAATACCAGTTGGGACACTGGCCGGATCCAGAAGTCTCTGGCCATTCTTGTGCCGACAAGCCTCACAGTGACAGTTATGTCTCAACCAGACACTGTGGAATCTGACCAGCCAGTGAATTATATTTAATCAAGTGGCAAATTTGTTGAAAATTCTCTCAAATTTCTCCTTACCGCATAACAAAAAAAAAACAGCTTTCATATATGGTTCTTTATCACTGTCAATTCCATTTTTTTAAAGTTTTCTCATAAACTAATCTGGACATAGGTTAGTTGCATATCCTTTACAGGAGGTTGTAGAACAAACCCCAACAGCCCCTGGCTGTTGTGTGGTTTTTCTAGGCAAATTTAAGTCCAGTAGTTTGCCATTGCTTTCTGGATGGTCGGCTATCTTGATACCACTGTCGAAACCAATGCAAGGCACATGGCCCGTAGCTGGGATCAAACCCGGCACCCAGACATTACGAAGTGTTCGCATCGACTTAGCTACAGAGCCGTCTAAAGGTTAGTTGCGTATCCTTTACAGGAAGTTGCAGAACCAACCCCAACAGTCCCGGCTGTTGTGTGGTTTTTTTAGGCATATTTATGTCCAGTAGTTTGCCACTGCTTTCTGGACGGTCGGCTTTCTTGATACCACTGTCGAAACCAACGCAAGGCACATGGTCCACAGCTGGAAACGAACGCGGCATCCCGGCATTACGAAGCGTTCGACTTAGCCACAGAGCCGACAATCTGGACATACTGATCAGAAAACATAAATCTCTTAGTATAAAGTTAGGCACTAGCGGTAAAGAACTAATTCCTCAGACTCAAGTCACCCTCCCCTCCCTCCAATCTCCCTCCCCCTACCCCCAATCTCCCTCCCCTATCTCCAATCTCCCTCCCCCTACCTCCAATCTCCCTCCCCCTACCTCCAATCTCCCTCACCCTACCTCCAATCTCCCTCCCCCTCCCTCCAATCTCCCCCACCCCTGCACAGGCCTAAAAAATGGAATATCATGCAGTAAACATATTTTATCTCTAGAACAAAGAAAATAAATATTCTGGCCTACATCTCTTCCATTTGAGGACAACTCCTCTGAGATTTCATCAAGCACAAATTTTTAGTTGGAATGAACTCAGTTATAAGTCAAGAAACCTGTATACTAAAGTTGATATCTGGAGGTTTATGAAGAAGAAGGAAATACTGGGAGTCAGTAAACAAAATCATCAACTGCTAACATAAAGAAAAGGTATAAGGATGAGACAGTTAATGTTAATAATCAATTGTGACAAATTTGAAGAAAAAAAAAATTCTTACTCAGTTTGAAATCCATCCTCCCACTTGATGTAGCATGTCTTTGCATCGAAATTCAGACTCACTGTATGAACATTAGAACTACTGCCTGTCTGAAACAATATGAACAGAAAGTAAACACTGAGGCAAATATTAAGTCTTCTTTTCAAATCTGAATTTAAAATAGCAATAGTGATGATGAGGAACGATAAGATTCTGATGTTGATATAACGATGCTGATGATAATAAAGAAGATGGTCATGATGAAGATGATGATAATAAGAATAATGGTGATGATAATAATCACAGTTTAATA